AACAGAATATCAACAGATAAAAAGGGGCGGAGTATAACGCCGAGGAAAGAGAAAGAGTGAGGGAATGTTAAAACATAGACTATATAATTATTAAGACTACCTAAGGCGCTGAGTCGGTAATTGCAGGTGACAACTATGACATCCTTCCTCACCAGCTCCTCCGCTTCATACATGGCCTCTGACCCAGTTCCTGTTTTGAAACCACCGCCATGGATCCACACCATCACTGGAAATGTTTTCGCCATCGTCGAAACCTGCCACAGATACAGTCAGTTGATAAATAAATGCAAGCAACCAACCGCGATTTGTATCCCGCCACAGCACGATTTGAATTCGTTTATTTGAGGTCTCGCACATTTCTAGGAATAAAACGAAGGAACGAAGGAAATCGGGTTGTTACACTGCATCCACCGAGGTCGATTAGACTGGATTCGCCTGTTTCTTGTACTAACATCAGGGGAGTACACGTTCAGAGTGAGGCAGTCCTCGCTGTATGTGCCATATGACGGGATCTCAAGTGTATTACTGTCCAGTTGAAGGCAGGCGGCACCAAACTGTGATGCATCGAAGACACCGTTCCATGGCTCGGCTGGAGAAGGGGCCTGCAATAATAGGCTTCGGTGTTACAGACACAATTTCCTTCATAAATCATGGAAGAGCCAGCATGTACGAGACCGTCCCAGTAGAGCAGTAACAGGACTGTTTTAACCTTGTATAATTAATTAAAAATATCTGTATGTAAATAGTGCGAACGATTGCGCAAGTCTCAACCTCTATTCTGACCATACCGCCCTCGACTATTACACATAAATAATAAAATATATAAAACAAGATGCGATGCAAACTCCTTTTGCTAGTTCCATGTATCAAGAGCAAGCTCTACCTTCCATCTGAGGTCTCCAACTGGTGGAAGAGCGTATGGTATTCCCCTGAACACATCCACTGGTGTACCATCGTGTGCACGACTTGTAATTCCTTCTACTCTGCCCAGTGTAGTCGTGACGATAGGACCCGCACGCACAGACGCCGTCGTCCACACGATGGTGAAAAACGCGACGTAAACAAGCAACTGCATTCTGACGAAACACGGGCGTATCGCGAACAACATTCACGGCTTGATATTCCAGATAGACGGCTAGAGATCCCTCACTTTGCCCTTTGGATCTCTGTGACCATTCATGATTACACAGCCCCCCCTACCAAGATTTTGATTAATCTGCAGTTGTAACATTTGTTTTGCACGTGTTACATGAAGTAGTCAGCGAGGCTATAGACTAGGGTTGTTTGGTGACCAGTTAGTCTGCGTAGACGCAGCGTCGCGCATATTGGGCGGCTGCATTGATGTTACAAGGAGTTGGATGAGCGGGTTTTAAGTTAGGCAGTTTCTAGGGTCATTGTGAAATGGGGTAGGACGCGGTCTGGGAGAACGGGTACATGTGCGTTCAGGATGTAAGAGTTGAGGGGAATATATAGGACAGGGATGTAGGAGTCGGGGAGTCTGGTTTTGGTCGCGGAAGGAGGAACACGCGCGTATGTGCGTGTGCGCGTTCTTTGTCTCTTTGTGCGATGTTCTACACTGTGTAAGATATTAAAGATTTTTCCGGTTACTACAACAAGTTTGAATTTATATCATCATTCCTGTTTACATTTTGGTTGCCGTGACAGTCCAAAACCTGGGTATCCCTTTGCAGACACAACGAAAGTTACTTTATTATATGGATCTACGGGCCAGCAACGAAACAGAGGAAGAATGACGGAGAGCGAGAGAGGGAGAGAAGGACGGAAAGAGCGAGTTCCGATGATGGTAGTGGTCACTGTGAAAGATGAGCACATCGGCGTTGTATCTGCGTGTGAATGTTGTTTTATTACTCTGGGTTATGCTTATAACTCGTGTGTTGTATATATTCCCTGTGTGTGTGTTTATTACGATGGCATTCAGTGTTTATTTACCTTTTTTGGCGCTAGTATCAGTGTATACGTTGTCTCAGACCATTTTGTATTGCTCAGACTCGTCACTGTGCACTTGTTTACATGCATTTGCCTAAGAACACTTCCGGTTTGTCGAAGGAAAGGTCTGCGACGTAAAGTAGTTCCTTGCTAATCGTCACACACGAATTACTGTGCGAGTTACTAAGAACTGATTATAGTATAGTTCGTTAATTTTGTATTTGTATAGTTAGGGTAATCTGAAATGTGAGTGTGTCGGGTATTTGAGATGACGAGCCGTGATATTCTTGCGCCGCGTACGGATTCTCGGCGCGGGAACAGCATGGCGCACCTGGCTTGTGCCATGGTTTTCATTTGTTCTACGATACTATAAAATTTATCGATAATTCTCCGAACCCCATAATGCCGCACGAGGTAATTATTAAGACCAATGTCTATTACGCTAGTATATGTAGGTTTCAATGACTGTCGAATTGCTTTCTGCCAAATATGTTGTAGTTTGAGCATTCAATGTACATTGCCGGCTAGCTGACACTGCTTGACGTTAACCATGCATAGAGCGCTTCAGGTCATCAATCGTACTGTTTCACGGTTTACAGTTGACATATATTTGTCTACTTATATTTGCAAGGCACGTTTCGAAATTTAGAGCATATTGTCGTTATTGTGTGATTTTGCCAGTTTTTACGGACACCATAGCAACGAGATCGTCAACAATAAAGATTAAAGAAAGTAAACGTGGTGC